TCGGATGTGGAAAAAAAAGTAAGGAAAGAAGGAAAGAAAAGCCTGCAACGTACAGTAGTTGTTAGAGTGCCATACTGTTATGCGTGTGATCGACGAGATGGGACACGGCGTGATGTTGATGTACAAGTACGACGGCATGGGGCGCGATCGATGGCATATCGCATCCTGAGACGGTACGCGGTAATCGGGTCGGCAGAGTGTACGAGCATGAGTACAGTGCGGTACTCGAGTACCGTAGCAGAGCACTTGTACTGTAAATTATCATACACATTACCGCAAGTTCCTGGTTATGCTGGAGTCGGGGGTTTACTTTTTCCGATTTACGGTGGTGGTCATTGGGAAAGGTATATATATATCATATCGGTATCATACCCCACCGCATTCTCTCGGCTGGGTCGAAGTCGGGTCTGCTGAGGTGGAGCTTCCCATAGTCTAACAAGTTGGTGGTAGGCCTGAAGTTGTGGTATCATGCAAGTACTCGTACTGTACCGTTTGTTTTATGTCATAAGTGGCTACGGTGCAGTAGTGTGTGAATTATGATACTGCCACAGCGGTTTGGTTGGTTTTCTGTTGGGAGAGGAGGGGTAACCGTGCCAAGGTTGTGGCATAGCCACAACCCAAGCTTGCTCATTCGCAAACTTGGGCACCTCGCTCCGCTAGGTGCCCTACAGCTCAACGCCAGATTCGGCTCAACGCCAGATTTTACCAAGATATAGAACTTAAAATACAATATTTCCACCACGCTTGCTTCTTTCCTTCTCCTTTGCTCTTCTGTTCCTAGTAGACCTTTTAAGCTCCTGAAAGATTGGTTTCCAATTTTTTTTTTGGTCATGAATAGCTTTTTTTTTGCCTGTTCAAGCTGTCTCTCCGCTTGCTCTAACTTCTTCTGCACATCATCATCCTGCCTTTTACGTACTATCACTCGAGCTTGATGGGCATAAAGGACATCTCCTTTCTGACATGAGTGTCGTAAGCGGTTCTGGCAAGTGGCTTGTGCTAGTTGGGCTGCTTGGGTATTTCCTAGCTCTTCAGAAGCCTGTGCTCCAGTCTGTGCCTGGATAAGGCTGCCCTTGATGTAGTGCCATAAATTGGTCTTAAAGGTGGGAGATACCGGATCAGATGCCTCTTGGTATCATGCCTGCTGTGTCAAGGACTGAACTGTATAGGGTGTAGATGGTGCCAGAGAGAGGGTTGGCGGAGGAGTTGCGGGTTGGGTGTTGTAAGCGGTATTGGAAGCGGTATTGGTTCTATACTCCTGAAGGTGAGATAAAAGGATATCAGGATTGTAGGGTATGAGACCAGTTTTCCGAAAGGCGGAGATAATAGTGCTGTCCTTGAAGGCTTGTGCTCGAATGGAATTCAGAGCCGTAAGGAATTCTACCTTATTGAAGTTGGAACACCCGGTATGGGTCGCTCTATCAATTGCCTCTGCATAATAGTGCTTTAAGGACTGAAAGACAACTACATTAAGTGGTTGAAGCATATGTGTACTGTGCGGTGGGAGGCAAAAGGGAATAATCGCCTTCTCATCACAAAAGGTAATAAAATTTCTCGTACAGTGACAGCCACGCCCATCAAGTAGGAGAAGCCGATATGTCCCTACTTGACGCCGCGCAGAAAATTGCTCAAAGTGATACAGCCAGTCTAAACAAAGCTCATCGTTTGAATAGCCTGTTTCAGATACGGACATCAAAACATCGTCTTCGATATCGGCCTTCGTAGCCCAATTCTCTATATGCACTACACCTGGCAGTATCACTATCGGGAGAAGGACAAAACAGTTACAGCTAATTGCTTCACAAGAAGTGACAAGTTCACAGTTCGTAGAACTTGCCAAATAGGATTGCCGATTAGGGTCAAGGGTGATGATCTATTGATCTTTGCCGATACCGATACGGAAGCCTGTCTCATCGAAATTATAGATGTCTTCGGTCTGAATATCTTTGATATCCATCACATGCTTGAAGCAGAGAAGCCAATCCAATATGTCTGCAGGATTGTGCACATTCTTTCTCTCATCCTCTAATGTCTTCTGTTTTCTCACATGAAACTTGGGATGTCACTTAAGAAAGCGACTTGTCCAAGCTGAACTAACTGTAGGTGGTGGAGAGCTAGGATTGATACTTGGGTGATTTCGGCGCAGGATACTATTTGCACAATTGGTGATCATGGAAATGCAGGTGGAGGTTCCAATCTCATCAAGGCGCCGAAGATAGAGCCCAATAGCAAGTTCTTCCTCTGGCGTAAGCTTTCTGTTTGCAGGAAGTCATTCATTTCGTGCTTGACGGCCATTCCATCTCCCTCAAAGGCAAATCTCAGGAACCTCAAACTCACAGGCAGCAGCCGCAACATTTGGCTTTTCACTTTCCAAAAGCTTCTCACAGGCAAGCCCAATCCTGGCTTTAATCTCGGCATACTGCTCACTCATTTTGAAAGGGTTGCGTGGAGAGGGGGAGGGGTGTTTGTCGGGGGTGATCGAAAATCTGGCGTTGAGCCGAATCTGGCGTTGAGCTGTAGGGCACCTAGTGGAGCGAGGTGCCCAAGTTTGCGAACGAGCAACCTTGGCATGGTTAGCGGTACTGTACGAGGCTGTAGACAAAAATCACTGCTAGCAATCACACAACATACCCAAACACTCACACATGCCCAAACAACTTTGAATATCGCAACAACAATAGTAGAAAAAAAATTCAAAAAAATTCAAAAAACAAAATTTAGAAGGTGGTACATGAGGCAAATTGGAACATAGAAAATACATCAAAATTCAGTTTGCATCCTCCTTCGTTGCTTGACCTGTGCAAATCTTGTTGTAACCTACTCCCCAGTATCTTAAGAATCTCAAAGAGGTTTCTGGATACTATTATTAGGATAGGGGGAGAAGCACCTATAGAATTCCTCTATAATAGTAATAGAGTTGAGGAAAATAGAAAGCGACCATTTAACTTGTAGTATATTCAGAAGAAGAGCATTCCTGTAAAGCTTAAGAGACTAAATCCTTAAGGTATTGTAGTCTCTTTAAATACAAAAGATTGTAATTAGGAAATATAACAATATTGCAATATCCAAGGAGAACATTCAACAGTGCTAACATAGTAGCAAAAGTAAATCAATCAAAGTCCTAAAGAAGAGAACTTGATGTAACAGGATAAAACTAATAAAATAAGTAATGCAATCCAAACAAGGTTAAACAAGCAATTGCTACTAAGGTACTATTCTAGTAGTAACAATAGTGTAAGGAAATACCCAACTGGGTATTAACATAACAATGGATACAACTAAGTGAACAAAGAAGATGTACTCAATTGAGTACTAACTAGTCAGTACAGGAAATATACACTATTAGAAAGAATCCTATATAGATGAGTACTAATTTCAAGTTAGTTACATTGGTAGAGAATAATTGAATTCCATTACACTTGTAGGGATACTGTCAATGTAGTAGTTTCAATCGTGAGGCTGTAAATAGTCCCACTCCTCCTGAACTGCTTTTCTTATTTGGTGAATTATTTTTGGAAATGTACTTCTTCCTTTAATCCTTTACTACATGATCCTCCATGCATTTTTTATAGGATTCAAGTCAGGTGATGAGGCTGGCCAAGTGTGAAGAGGAATACCTAACATTTGTTTTAGTTTCATAAGAACTCCTTTAGTCCGGTGAATTGAGACCTAGTTCTCAATAAATTTGGCCTCAGGAGATGCATCATAAGAAACAAGATGCATATAAGCAGGTATGACAATGGGTTTAAGGACCTGCTGAAGGTAGTCTTTTACAATTACAAGAAACATAAGTGGTGACTTCCAATTATAACTAATAGCCTCCTATGCCATCACAGATATGTGGCTACTGTAAAATGAATACTGCATGCAATTATTGTGGTAGCACTTGCCAGAAAGTTGGGTAATCTACACACATCCTTGCTAAGATATATTAAAAATACACTCATCAGAAAGTACATGCTTTTGCTACTAGTTTATTGGCTTGAGTATATGTTTATCAGCATAAGCTTTATGCATCTGCTAGTTTTCCTTGTTGATAAATAGCTTCTTACAAGTCTTATATATTGAGTATCCTCCCTTCTCAAGTATTTGTTTAATAATTTTTGAAGAAACAGTCAATCCTATCTCTTAACTCAACTTTTGCTAATAAAGGCATTACTCTTCCCAGCTACTTTAGAGATGGAAGATCAATTGGTGAATACCATATTTGTTGAGGAGCTGTGGGCACATAGGACAATCTCATTGTCTTTGTGGCTATTGTTGCTTTTGCCAATCACTGATCGTTCATTATGGAATACCAGTCTGCCATGAAATTTCAAACTGGGACAGGCCAGTGGTGAGTAGGGTAAGAACTCTGGCTTGCATTAGAGTATGTCATTCACCATAGGATGGCTTGTATAGTGGAGTAGACAACATTTTCATCTAATCTTGGTATTGTGGTTGCGATGGACAATTGCTAGTGGTGATTTTTGTCCACAGCCTCATACTGTACTGTACATGCTACGGTATGTCCATGTTAAATTCTTGGTGACTACGGGCTAACCGCATCGTGAGGTACAATACCGTGCCGGTAGTTAGGCCGTATTCATCTATGCGGGCTTAACACTAACGCGACGCCCGGGCTAGAGGAAAACAAAAGCAATCATCTCACTTACGAGTATGATAAGATATGATACTCGAGTGACTATGGGGAAGCAAGGGGAGAGAGTAAAAAAGGAAACTTTGGTTCCAGAGGGGGTCGAACCCTCGACCTTGGCGTAAACATCTGGATGATATTAGCACCACGCGCTAACCAACTGAGCCATGGAACCATTGTGCATCTAAGAAAAAAAATATATAGGTATCCATAGGAGAGCTTCGAAGAATGAGAGTAGAATGGTTTTACCGTTAGACGGCTACTACTTGAGTATGGGCAGATTATTAAATGCTAGACCACCACGTTGCTCACCACCCCGCCGAACGGCGTAAACGAGTAATCATGTGTTAGTCACGGGGAGATGAGTAGGATAAAATGGACTTACTAGTCTCTAAACTATCATACCGATTCGCTCTTCTCTCTCCTTGCGCGAAGCCCCCCCCCAATCACCACCACCACTATAAAGAAGAAACAGAAACAAACCCCACAAAACTCCCCACGCCACGGCCCCGGACCATGCACAGATTTCTTGCTAGAAATGAAAGCTAGTAAAGTAGAAAAAAGGAAAGAAGTGATCACAACCCAACTCCTTTCAACCCCTGTATCGGTTCCACCAATCTCTCTACCGACGTTACCAGTGGCCGCTCTGCGCTCCCGGACAACGCCCTTCTCCGCTGGGCAGTAACCGTAGTAAGCGTCGACCGCGTTGTGGTCGCGGTAGTGGTGGTGATCTCCACTTCCTCCCTCCTAGCGGTCTCCGCCGCCTGCTCTGGGAATGGCGTGCCGGTTAGGGGTGCAAGGATTAGGTAGCGCCAGACATAGAGCGTTGCGTCGTAGAGGAGGATTAAGATCGCCGGGGTCATGGTTAGGATTCCCAGGAATACCTGGTTAGGTGTGTTCATTAGTGACGGAGTGGGCGAGGCGGGCGGGTGGATGGGGCAGCTTACGAAGGAACGGACGGCCCAAGTTTGAAGGATTCCTAAGATTTCGAGTGGGTCCAAGTTTGGCGGAGACATGTTCGGGTATCTTGAAGGGTTGGTGCCTTTGCAGATCGGGAGCGTGCGAGGGTGCGTTGTGGGTGGGGTGATGGTGGGATGTGAGAGGAAGGAGGGGGGATGTGAGTGAGAGAGTGTGGAAGATACTGTAGGCGAGGGGATTCGTGGCCGTTTGCGGGTTGAACGGGTGTCTGCTTGGAATGTCGTGAATGGAGGAGGCTCGTGGCTTGGTGAGCATGGTTGGGTTACTTGGGTGAATTGGTTACAGCTCTACAGCAGTGCGACACACGTTCGGATTCGCGAGCTCAATTCGCGCTACTCTATCGACGCCACTATTCTGGTGCTTGGGTTCTGGGGTACAATCAGGACTACTAACTTAAGTGGACTCGCGCTTTCACGAGCAAAACCACATGAACGCTGAATAGCTAGCCTCCCCTGATGGAACACCGCAAGCACCCCCCCCCGTGCCCATCTACCTGGCCTATGAACACGCAAATGAAGTTGCCGGTAATCCGGATCCCCAGGCGCAAGGGCAACACTTGCGCCTCATGGGATTAGCAAGGGTCTAGCTTTGGTAACATCTTTGTATTCACTCGAGAGACATGACTTGGGATGTGGTGTTGTTCGCCATTAGACTACATTCCCTTTGAGATATCACAAGAAGCTGAGGTAATCATACCAATATGAGTCAATCCAAAAGTCCCTGTCTTGTGTGTCTTGTGAGAGGTGACTTGTTTCTCGTGATAGCTACCCACTGCACTGTACATCCTTGGTACAATATACGCTCTTAACCCATCCCTTCGTATAGGATGATACTGGAGTAGGTACACTGGCGGAGCTAGGCTAGGGCTCAGTGTCTGGATATAGGATTTCAAAGTTTTAGGTGAAGGTGGTAAATCACTCTCGAAAATGCTGACTTCCAGAGTTGAAGATTCGAGTCCCAAGGACTTGTCGTTCTTCATGAATAAGCTCTTCAGGGTGATGCTTTTTGGTGACATAATTGGGATAAATTCCTCTGCGTCACAGATCTGCCATTTGGCGAGAGGAGAATACCTCCCTTGTATGCATCATCTTACTGGCTGAATGGGCTTCGACATGTCTGAAAAGCAATAAAGTCTATTATACGAAAATACTACTCTGAGTTTTGGTTGTTGAAGAAGATTGAGGCTAATAGGCTGATATTTGAGGCAGCACTGAAGGTAGCATGGTGGGCGGTCTTATAATCCTTAATTGATCAATTAATCAAGTCTATGCCTCGCTGTTTGCATACCATGTGTAAGGCACATGGTTACTATAAAAAGTATTGAAAGTCAATTAATTATTATTAATTTGAACTCACATTCATCTAATTTGGGCTTAATTTTGTGAAGCAATATGTGTTGTTACAAGCATACTCAGGTGTAGGGCATTCATTGATATGGGGCATAAAACAGTACTTTTGAGAGATACTTGTACAATACACTGTCATATACAAGTGCAATGGCCATGAACAAATAGTGGCAATATTGCTCCAATGGCTGAAAGTTTAGGCTTCCCTGACTCTAGTTCGGGTACCATAGAATCTGGTCTTATAGAGACCATTGCCAAGTGAATGATGTGTGGAACTATACTCATTTGGAACCTCAGTTATGTGGTGAAGGAACCAAAACTCAGCTCTTACAAAGTATGAATATACACAAGATTCTATCAATCCGTCATATTATCCTTCCAATTACCAGTATTCAATTTACCTCAATCTTGCCATATAACTAGCTCAAAGACTACTGCAGAACATTCAGGCCAATGATGAAACAGTTTGGAAGATACAATGCCCAGGTCTACAGGTGTGGCATTTAGAAAGTCGGAGATAAATGGTATAGATAATATTCCAAGACTCAGTTGGTGACACAACATATGCAAGCAGTTATTAATACAGAAGGTATAGGCTAAACCAGCAAAGCAGGTTGAATGAAGCTGTATACGGTTACAAAAGATAGAAGTGCTCATGTGGATTACACATTACCGCTAGAGAATAAAGCACCTAATACCGCTATTAGAACATGACCTTTAATGCTAGACAAAGCATCCACCTTTTTTGAAATCCTTAAAAGTACGATAGTGAAATGGAATTCACCTGAAGTAAGAGAAGGGATTCGGCAACTGAGTAGAAAGCTATCATGTGACACTTCAACAACCTTGGTCAGTACATAGCCAGAGATAGAGGAAAGACTTTAGGAGACCTTTAAAGAACTGAGAGAGTAGGGAAGGCTCAGAATGTATAGGTGGTTTTGGAGAAGGGCAAAAGAGCTCAGGAAGGTAGCCTATCGAGATTTGTAGTACAAGCTAGAATTATTTGTTTTCTTGTATGTATTACAAATGTAGCTTGGCGAGGAAAAGGTTTTCACGTGACATATGATTATGAGTCATAGGTATGTTATTGTTTTAGGCTTATGACTAATTTAAGTCGTATGATATATAGTGTTACGATTTGTTATGTATTGCACATGACTTGAGTTTGAGTCATGGGACAGGCACCTGATGAGTGTGTCTTGCAAGTATGCCTTGCGGGTATGCATTGCGTATATGGTTTAGGTTTGGCACATAACCTCATTATGAGGTAATGGATTTCACGCATGTGACTACTAGGGGTCAAATGATTTGTTTATTGTATTAGGATTGGTTTATAGGTTTTCGCAGATGACCTTGATACAAGGTCATGAGTTTTGAGCATATGATTACTTTGGTCATATAATTTGTTTGTTATGATTTGGTTTCACATATGTGACCACTTTGGGTCACATGACTTGGATCGAGAAGAACACTATATAAGGAGATGGTATGGCCAAGGAAGATAGGTTCTTCATGCTTTGTTCTAAGTACTTTTCCTTGTCCTGGCTGTCGCTTCACCCCGATTGTTACTTTCGCACTCATGATGGCCCTTGATGCCTTGAATTCTGGGGGAGATATCTGAGTTCGCTTAGTAGTTCCTGGGATTCTTGGTATTGAGGTCTGTTAATATTGCATGGCGGATTACTTGTTTGCCTCTCGTTTGGTTGTCTCCTAGTTATCACACGATGCTGGCACTGCGAGCTACTCATCATGGTCGCTTACGAGTCCCTTTCGGTAAAATTTCTTTGGCTTCCGGGCTATTGTCTACTCGTAGGTTTTGCATTGGATTGGGGCAATTGAACTTGGTATGTGAGGGGATCACCCATGTCATTCTCTGGGTCAGCACATATTTCTTGTTGGGTTTTAATAGAATCCTTAGTTCACACGATACAAAATGCCGACATGTTTGCTTGATGACCATCCAGTATCCTCAACTTGTTGTACCGGCAGCATCACTTCTCAGATGGCAAGGTGGTACCTGCCCAGCCGTTTTTCGTTATGTTATGTTTCTACGGTTGGAATCATATGATGTTGTTTATCACCGTTCCCTTGGAGTTTTGTCCTGATGGCATTTACGGTGGTTCAGTCCGGTATCTCCTCCTCACCTCAGTGGGAATGGCTTTGACACTGAAAAAACCTTACTATTTGGTGTGGTTTTTTTTTATTACTGCCTGGGGTAGTGTGAGACGATTATTCGCCAGACACTTGCATTGTCTGTATGTTTGGGTGGTTTGGTTATGGATTGTGGTTGGCAGCTTCACCTATTGCAAGTGGGGCCTACCTTCTGTATGTCTACTTCTGTTCGCTCACCTTCTATAATGATTCCTCCTTGGATGGTTAGGTCTTGGCGATGGGGAACAATACTTCTCATTTTCTTCTTCTTTTCTTCTGTGTCTTACGATAGCGCTAGGTCTTTGCCTGCGTTATCGATAGTACCAGACCTCTGTCTTCTATCGGAAATGCCTATCGTAAGATTTCTCTGACTCTTCTTTATAAAGAACTTTCTATGGCGTAATGATAACGTTGCAATAAAGATACAGATCGTAAAGGTGTTTTATATTCGTTAAAGTAATAAGTAGGAAAAGTACTTAGAAGTCAATCTAATTTTATTTAAACTTGTACCGCCAACACTGGCATACGATGAGCCCCCGCTGGCACAGGGATACCGCTAACCGGTATACCACTAATCCTAGGCTAACTAAGTCTACACTCCCATACCTGCCATCCCAGAGTCACGCCTGCATGGAAAATAATTACAAGACCATGAAACAACCCAGCGCCCACCCCGGTTCAAGTCCGTAGCCCCTCTGGTATGAAGCCAACCAGCACTAAGCGTAGCCGAAGCCGAGCAAAAGACCAACACAACCAGGTTCCTTGTCCAACAAACATAAAATCACTACCACCCGGCCCAAATACCGTTCCACAAAACCTCCTCCACAGTAGAAAACCAACAAAACTAAAACAAATATAAACAACAGGCGATATAAATGGCAGAGAGGAGGTGACCCACATGTCTACCTCTCGCATCCGCATGCCAGGCTGTTGACCCTATGAACCCACTTTGCCAAGTGCCTCTGAAGAGCGTAATGGTGAAGAGGACCTATACCCGCTGCGTGTCCCCTAAAACAAAATCATAAACAAAGGAAATACATAGAGGTGGTGATAGACCTAAAAGGCTAGTGGGGCCAATCTCCTACCCGTGGTGCCTTGCCCCCGCCAGCCATGCCCATTGCTAAACCAAAGAAACTAAACAAACCTCACAAAACCTAGCACACAAGACCCAATCAAGTCCAACCAGGTGGTTGCAACCCACCATCCGCACAGGTGGCCATCAACCATCCGGGTCATCGAGGAGCTTTACAGCACTCAGCAGCTTCACCCAACAGCCCCATCAGGCCAGAAACACTTAATTAGACATCGCCCAACCTGACCCATGTCCAACTGGTGCTTGCAGGTGCCTCTCCCCCCCCAATCAGCCCCCCCCAAGCCCTACACACCAGGCGCCACAGAGCCCATCCAGTCTCCTGAGCTCCTGAGACAGGTCAACCATCAGATAGCCACAGGACAGCTATACCCAACCCCATCAGGCAGCCACTGGTCTTGGCCACGCTAACAGAGCCCCAACCCCCGACTCCATACAGCCGAGGCGAGCCCACCAGCCAAAGCCGGGAGCCTCAAAAGAGGCAGCACCAATACCCGAAGGCACCAGCACCAGCCACACC